TTCACCTCTTCAGATCTGCCTCTGTCCACAGGAAATGAGCTGTTCTGTCTTTCCTCTCCCATACCATACCATACATTTGTATACCATAATCGTGCCTGTTTGCCCCGTGCCATCTATGGGTCTCTTCCCACGCAGCCATCTTGGCTCAGGACAGGACCATCATTCCTGCTCAGAGCCCAGGGAAGTCCCCCTTTGGCCTGCTTGTGGGTCTTGTTGTCTGACTCTGTTATGGTGCTCGGCAGGACTCTGCTGACAAAAATCATAATGGGGCCTGACTACCAGGTACCAGAGGGCAGTGAAGTTCTTCCTGCTCCAAGTCTAGAGACCTGGGGTGGACCTGTGCTTGGCCTCTGGGGTCGACCAGGCCTAAACTGCAAGTATTTTACAAGTATTTTTGCATTTATGTTCATTAGGGAAATTGGACTGCAATTCTTTCTTTGCTGAATCTTGTTTGCATTTGAGTATCGTGGTGACTGTGGTCTCATAAAATGAATATGGCAATGCTAATTCTGCTCCTATTTTGTGAAATAATTTGAGGAATATTAGGTCTTCATTGAAAGGTTGGTAGAAATCTGCACTAAACCATCTGGTCCTGGTCTATTTTATGTTTGGAAAACTTTTAGTGATTACCTCTATTTCAGTAGGGGGTATATGTCTGTGTAAATTGCTTATCTGACCTTGATTTAACTTTGATAAGTGGTGTGTATTGAGAAAATTATCCATTTCTTTTAGATTTTTTAATTTGTTGGAGCACTGGTTTTTAAAATATGTCATTATGATCTCTAGATTTCTTTGGTGTTTCTTGTTACGTATGTCACCCTTTTGTTTCTGATATTATTATTTGAATACTCTCTTTCTACCTCTTAGTTAATTTGGATAAGGATTTATGAATTTTGTTGATTTCCTCAAAGAAACAACTATTTGTTTCATTGTTGTGGAATATTCCTTTTCACTGTATGAAGCTGTGTCACTGGGATTGGTTTACAAAAGGAAAGCTGAATGGCCATTAGCTAGGCAGGCAGAGGTAAGGCAGGACTTCTGGGGACAGAGAGCTCTGGGAAGAGGAAAGGTGGAGTCACCAGCCAGATGTTGAGGAAGCAGGACAGGCAATACAGAAGAAAGGTAAACAAGCTCTGCAAAAGAATGTATATTTAAAAATATGGGTTAATTTAAGTTGTAAGAGCTAGTACAACAAGCCTAAGCTAGGGCAAAGTTTTCATAATTAATAATAAACTTCTGCGTCATTTTAAAAGAACTTTTAGCCCAAAGAAATATCTGTCTACATTTTATTGAATTTTTAAAATTTTTCTCTTTGTATCTATTTTACTGATTTCAACACTGAGTTTGATTATTTCTTACGATCTACTCATCTTGAGTGTGATGAGTTCTTTTGTTGTTGTTCTAGAGCTTTCAGGTGTGTTGTGAATTGCTAGAATTAGATCTTTGTAGTTTTTTAATATATTCACTAGCACTATGAACTTGCTTCTTAGCGCTGCTTTCCTTGTGTCCCATAAGTTTGGGTATATCATGTAGTTGTTTTCATTGAGTTTTAGAAAGCCTTTAATTTCTTTCTTTATTTCTGTCTTGCTCCATTTTTTTTTAAATGCGAAGATAGTTTTTCAGCTTCCATGAGTTTGTATGCTTTCTGTTGTTGTTGATCCAGCTGTAATTCAGATGATCTGACAGGATGCAAGATGTTATTTCAATTTTCTTATATCTGTTGAGAATAGCTTTGTGTTTTGAGTATATTATCAATTTTGGAAAAATTCCATGAGGCTTAGAGAAGAAAGCATATCCCTTGGTGCTAGGCTGACTGCAGTCTCCTCTCCTTCTCAGCTCCCAGTAACCCAAGTCTCCAACTAACGAGAACACCTGCTGTGGTCACCTCTCCCCTCTGATGCCACTTCCTTCAAATCTCAAAGATCCTCTGCTCCAACCTTCCTTCCCCCAACTCATCCCAGTCTCTCAGCCTCCAAACCAGCTGACTTTCATTCCTATGATCACACCAGCTGTGCAGTCAGGGAAACAGGTAAGCTAACTGAGGACCTTCACCACTCCCTCCTCTCCTCCAAACCCAATACCCCAGTGGCATTACTGTCTCTGCAACAGAGGACCTGTTTTTCAGCCTTCCTTCCTCCTCTGCCAACTTCTCCTGTAGATCCCACAGACTTTCCTCCCCAGTCTCCCTACCCAACTTGTTGCTTTATCCCTGCCCCCAATTCCAGCAGACACTGCCTGATAACACACAGGCTACTCTGCCAGGGAAGCAGGTATGCTGTGTATAAATTTTCCTTTCTCCTTCTGTCCCTCTAGATTCAATCCAGTCTCATCCCCAGTGCTATAGCCGACCTGTGAGTGACCTCTTTTAACTGTCCATCCTCTCATTTAGTCTCATAGGAGACTAAAGAAGCAGGTCCTTGTTAAACACTCTGATGTCCTCCTTCCTGTGAACTCCTTCAGACTCTTGGCCTAGCCCCATTCCTAAGAGTCAGCTGTCAATGACAAGAAATATATTTTACTGGGAAACCTCATTGACCACACATATTAGGTGCATAAAATTTCCTACCAGGCAGTAAACAGCCACCACACTCTCCTATAATCAGAATAAACAGCAACCAAGGTACAGACACCCACTCAAACCAAAACAAATCCAGATATCAGTACTTAGACCTTTAATCATTCCAATTCCAGATGCCTAGATGATCATATAAAAATACAGTCAATAACATCCAAGCAAATATATCTCCACTAGAACCCACCACAGCAGGTCCTGAATATTTCAACATAGACAAATCACAAGAAAAATATCTTAAAAGTTTGTATGAAGATGATAGAGTTCCTCAAATTTTAAATTAATAAATCCCTTAAAGAATCCAGGAGAACCCAAACAGTGTGAGGAAATGAACAAATCCCTTAGAACATTTAAATAATACAAAGAACAAAGGAGGTAAATGAATAAGTTGTTCAAGACCTGAAAATAAAAATAGAATCAATAAAAACAACAAAAACTGAGGGTGGGAAATATTTAAGAAGCCCCCCTTGCTTTCATATTCATAAGAATTCATTTGCCAGGGAAAGCACCATCTCATTGTCTCTCTTCCCATGCTCCCAGTTCTGCTTGTATCATGGTTGGTCAGGTGGTTTTGAGTTGGCCACTCAGGCCATGAAAGTCAGCTGGACAAGGCTGAATAGACTTGCAGGCTCCATTGGAAGTTTCCCGAGATGCACATCCCACATGAACAGGATGGAGAAAGCCAAGAGGGGACATCTGAGTCCCCAAGAAATGTCCTAGGAACATTGCCATTTGAATGGCAACTCAGATGGTCACTGGTTTATAAATGGAGAAACTGGGGGCCAAAGGAAGGTCAGGCAGAGCCAGGACTCAATGAAAAGTGCTCACTAAGATGTCAAGATCCCACAGAGACACCACCTGACCTCTCAAAGAGGTCCATGATGAGATGAGGATGTGTTTCCTTTAGAGCTTGATAGACTTGGTCTTTACTGGCCCTGGTCCATGACCGGCTAGAGCTGAAGAGCTTCCGCATCTTGTCTTGGGTGGTGGCTTCAGCCCGCACTGCCTCATACTGCTCTTCACTCAGCACCAGACCATGCAGCTTGTCCAAGAGAGGGTCTACTGATGTCACTCGGGCCACCAGCTGCTCCCGATGCTGGTCCACGAAGTGTAGCAAGGCAGGAGCATCTAGGAGTGAAGATCGACACTGAGCATAGAAAGGGTCCTCCACGATTTCTTCCACTGTCTGCTCAGTTTTTGTTTTATTTGTTTAACGTATCTCATCTGCATTGTGCACCTCTGGTTCCCTTCCTCCTCTGGGAAGTCATGAGAAAAAAATATCTGTACCCTTCCTGAGGCCAGTTATTAGTCTGACACTCTGCCTAACTAGGAGGAAGGGTTTATGGTAAGGTGTTCAGGTTGGGAGTGCGTAGTATAGTAATGTATTATTTGTGTTTTAATAAATAAAGCTTGCTTGAAGATCAGAGAGCAAAGCAGTCATANGTTTGATAACTTGTAAACTTGGATAGAAAATTGATACCAGGAGTTGGGTTAATGCTATAATGTGCACTGGTTACATGGATCCTAGGCTTTTGGAAGTGTTTTGGGCTGGAATGTGGAAGAGTTTGGTCCTTAGGAAAGCCCTTCTATGCTGAAAGCAGAGCTTATGGGTACATTCTTTTGGAAGCAGGGAAGACAAGAATGCTGAGAGAGGGGGTGGAGGCCAGTCCATAACACTTTCAGAGAGGTGGAAGGTTTCTCTTGAGAACTGTAAAAGGTGCCATTCATGAGACACTTTGTCCAAGAATCTAGTTTCAGTGCATAAATGCCCTGTATATGAGTGAAGTTGAATTTAAATGTAAAAGACTAATTTGGCAGGAAAAATTCTGAGACAGAAAGCATTCACCTTTTTTTCAAAAAGAAAAATCAGTTGTAAATATTAGAGATCAGCATCACTGCAGGGAAAGTACAGTGACAATAGGAAAGGTGTCCTGAGGGCAAAATCTCACTCTTCATGGGCTCATCTTGTGAANTGAATAAGTTGTTCAAGACCTGAAAATAAAAATAGAATCAATAAAAACAACAAAAACTGAGGGTGGGAAATATTTAAGAAGCCCCCCTTGCTTTCATATTCATAAGAATTCATTTGCCAGGGAAAGCACCATCTCATTGTCTCTCTTCCCATGCTCCCAGTTCTGCTTGTATCATGGTTGGTCAGGTGGTTTTGAGTTGGCCACTCAGGCCATGAAAGTCAGCTGGACAAGGCTGAATAGACTTGCAGGCTCCATTGGAAGTTTCCCGAGATGCACATCCCACATGAACAGGATGGAGAAAGCCAAGAGGGGACATCTGAGTCCCCAAGAAATGTCCTAGGAACATTGCCATTTGAATGGCAACTCAGATGGTCACTGGTTTATAAATGGAGAAACTGGGGGCCAAAGGAAGGTCAGGCAGAGCCAGGACTCAATGAAAAGTGCTCACTAAGATGTCAAGATCCCACAGAGACACCACCTGACCTCTCAAAGAGGTCCATGATGAGATGAGGATGTGTTTCCTTTAGAGCTTGATAGACTTGGTCTTTACTGGCCCTGGTCCATGACCGGCTAGAGCTGAAGAGCTTCCGCATCTTGTCTTGGGTGGTGGCTTCAGCCCGCACTGCCTCATACTGCTCTTCACTCAGCACCAGACCATGCAGCTTGTCCAAGAGAGGGTCTACTGATGTCACTCGGGCCACCAGCTGCTCCCGATGCTGGTCCACGAAGTGTAGCAAGGCAGGAGCATCTAGGAGTGAAGATCGACACTGAGCATAGAAAGGGTCCTCCACGATTTCTTCCACTGTCTGCTCAGTTTTTGTTTTATTTGTTTAACGTATCTCATCTGCATTGTGCACCTCTGGTTCCCTTCCTCCTCTGGGAAGTCATGAGAAAAAAATATCTGTACCCTTCCTGAGGCCAGTTATTAGTCTGACACTCTGCCTAACTAGGAGGAAGGGTTTATGGTAAGGTGTTCAGGTTGGGAGTGCGTAGTATAGTAATGTATTATTTGTGTTTTAATAAATAAAGCTTGCTTGAAGATCAGAGAGCAAAGCAGTCATACTAGTCATCCATACAGACCAGGGAATGTTGGCAAACCTTTAATCACAGGACTCGGGAGACAGAGGCAGAGGGATCGCTATTAGTTCTAGGCCAGCCTGGACTACACAAGATTAAATCTCTCTTAAAGAGTAATAGAGCTCACACTAAGGAGATCCCAGCACTTGGGATAACATTTTTTTTTAAATCCCAGCACTAGGGTAGGTGGAGACAGGAGTGATATGGCTGGGTAGAGAGAGGAATATAAGGGGAAAGAGACAGGATCTCAGTGTACTGTGAAGTGTGGGTTGTGGAGTTTGGGAGTTTGTGGACAGGATCTCACCTCATTTCAGTCTGAGGTAGTGATGAGAGCCAGTAATTGGCCGCTTTGCTTTTCTGATCTTCAGATTGAACCCCAATATCTCTCTCTGGGTATTTATTATTCGTGCTGTAGGGTGGGGTTATTTTCAACAAGGGAAGCCAAGAGGAATGAGAGAAACTCTGCCCTGGGGCAGGTACATGGCCTACCTGTCCTGGTAAGGTTTGCAAAGTGAGCCTCCCTCCTTTCTCACTGATCTTCTCTCAAGGATCAGATAATCTACCTGCGGAATACTATTGGCTTCTCTGGCTTTGTATAAGTGTTACTGACCTTTGTGGGCTGTAGGGATCATGGGCTGTGCAGGCCTGAGGTCTCCTGGAAGAAAGGAGAGATGATCATCTCTAATGATTCTTTACAAATAGAATGGAAAAATGCTGGAATTCATGCAGAACCACTAGAGACATAGGATTTCCAAGGAAATTCTGAACAAAAATGATTTTGTAGAAAACTTCATCACACTTCTTTCAAACCAATACTAGAGTCCAAGTAGTAAAAACAGCATGGTATTGACACAAAAAGATGTGCAGATCAATAGAATAGACTCGAAACCTAGATAAAAGTTTATACAACCATACCTACCTTGACTTTGACAAAGAACCCCAAATGTACTTTGTATAAAAGACAGGCTGTTAAACGAGTGGTCCTGGAAAACTACTTAGCACTGTACGGAAGAATCAAACTAGATGCCTAGATTACACCTTTAAAAAATTAACTATAAATGATCAAAGACCTTAATTTGTGCCCCAACACCCTGAAACTTATAGAACAAACATAGGCAGAACATTTCAACAAATCAGTATATGTCAGGATTGTGTGAATAAGATTCTGGTAGCAAAGGAAATAAAACCAAATTTGGCAAATTGGATATCAGGACAATCAAAAAGTTCTGTATAGCAAAGGAAACTTAATTGAGTGAAGATGTAGTTAAGAATGGGAGGAACTATTCCCAGGTAACATCTGACAAAATATTAGTAATAGGAATATATGGATCAGAAAACCTAAATAGCAAGGAAATGGCACAATTCTGAGATTTGCCATAGGAGTAGCAGCAGAATTCTTAAAAGAGGAAACATAAATGTGTACGAAACACTTAGAAATTAGAAAAATACAGGTTAAAATTTGTTATGATTTTCTCTCATTTTTAAATTAAAACAAACAAACAAACAAACCCAGGTCTTTGAAGGTCTTAGGCCCTTAGAAAAACTACATTTACTGCGTACATAAAGGTACATGGTGTCAATTCTCTTGTAAATAGCAATGTTTATACCACAGACAAAGGCTACTTTCAGTCTTCACCAGAAAAGCCTCTCTTTGCTGTGAATGGGGATGACTGCATATACCTTCAGCTGTGCAGGATACTGAGAATAAGGGATGGTTGAGTACTAATCCCTATTAGTAGACAATTATATCGCTCCTCGAGGATCTAGGAACATTGTGGAAGAGAAATTGGAAAGAATGTAGGGACAAAAGATATGGGGAAGGGCTGTGAAGATATGAAGAAAATATGGATAAGACGTTGTGCTCTCTTCTAAGCATGACATGACCATGGCCATCATGAACTCTTAGCACCTGCACCTACTGCCTCTGGACCCACACAAGTATGGCCCTAGACATGGGGAAGCAGCTCACAGGGACAGTACTACTTAGAGCTTTACTATTGACAAATAATAGATTATGGGAGAACAGGGTGTATACAATCCATCTGTACCCACTGGTGAACTCACTTGCTTTTTTACTGGGTAGTTCAAAACCCTTAGGCACACAGATGATTCTATTTAAACTCTGTCAGACAAGCAATAATGAATGTGGGGAGGAGATTTGTAGAAAAGAATAGGGGCTGGCAGAGGAGCAGGAGGGAGATAAGGTTTGTTTAGGATGGAATTCCTAGAATGCATTGTATGCATGTATAAAATTGTTAAAAGACAAAAGGATTTTAAGATTAAGAATCTCATGATGGAAAAATCCCTTCATTTTAACTGTTCACATTTAAATGTGAACTGTTACTAGATGCTTTGTGCATCTCAAAATCTGTCATTTCTAGGGTATTGGGAGTGGAAATAATGATGCAGAACCAAGAAAATGGGGGTTAGGGTTTGCGGTGGTTTGGATGTAACATGTTCCGTGATCATGTGTTGAAACATTGGTTTTGCAGCAGAAATCGGTGGTGACTGTCATGAGGACTGTGGTTTGATGGATGAACACATACACTAGTGCACTCATAATTGCATGAACACTGAGAATGGTACTGGAAACCATGAGAGTGCACAAGTAGGAAATGGGTCACTGGAGGCATGTCCTAGATTAGAATATCTTGCATGGGGCTTCCCACATCCTTCTCCTTTTCTACTCTCTCCACCTCTTCTCCTCTGTCCCTCCTTCTCTTCTGTTCTCCTCTTCTCTTCACCTTTTCCTGCTCCTCTTTCTCCCCCTTGCTCTCACTCTAACTCTAACCACCAGTTTTGGATCTAGCAAAAGCCACATAACTGATCTGACTATTTCATGACACCAAGAATTAATGACAACACACCTTTCCCTGCTCAATGCCTTCTTTACCCTTTGGGGTATCTGGACCTAAACAAATTTTACCTGGTTTCAGCAAGGCTTCCCATTTGAGATTCTTATTCTTCTTGTCTCTGATACGCAGTTTAATCCCTGAATCCATGTGGCCAGCATATATCTCAGAGAAGAGCTGACATTCCCTGGGGCTCCGGTAGCACAGCTCCAGTTCCTGAAGGGGGTGAGGACAGATTCTGTTTCAGAAGCCTCTACTCAAGAGAACAAGTGTTTTCCACACCCCTGTATTTCTTATTCTTGCACACCATAGCAGACACCTGATGTGGAAGAGTCTTCTGTTTTGTGTTGGTTTCATTGGTTAAATAAAGAAACTGCCTTGGCCCTTTAATATGACAGAAAATTAGGTAGGTGGAGTAGACAGAACAGAATGCTGGGAGAAAGAAGCCGAGTCAATCAGTTGCCATGATTCTCCTCTCCAAGACAGACACAGGCTAAGATCCTTCTGGTAAGCCACCACCTCGTGGTGCTATACACGTTAATAGAGATGGGTTAATCAAGATGTGATAATTAGCCAATAAGAGGCTAGAGCTAATGGGCCAAGCAGTGTTTAAATGAATACAATTTCTGTGTAATTGTTTCAGGTAAAGCTAGCCAGTGGCTAGGAGCTGGGAGGTGGGAAGTGGCCCGCAGCACCCTACTACAGAGTGGCACCCAACGTGGTAACTAAATCCACTTAAAAACCTGAGAAGGCTTAGAAATAAGGGAAAGAGAGTTTAACACAGATTTTGCTGTTTGCAAGGAAGTGCTGTAGAGAGATTTCCTGTTTCAGCAGTAGCGGCAGAAAAAAAAGCCGTGTCATTTTTAAAAACACAGTTTCCTTGGGGCAGTGCCGCCAGTGCAAACTCTGACTTTAAAGCATTCTAATGGCTTTTTTGGGACTGGATGTTTGTGTTCCCACTCAGGATCATGAAGAAAGGACTCTGAGACCATGCCAATGGCTCAGTGCTCCCCACCTGGGCAGACTGCAGAATCAGGCTTACGCAGGCAGGAGAGCAGGGTGGATTCCTGCTGCCATACAGAGAGGTGTTTTCAGACTGTGCAGTGCTCTGCCTGTCAGATTTGGCTGTAACTTGGATGAAAAGAGTTTCTGTGCTGCACACTCAGTCTCAGAATTAAACTGCTGACTGTGGCTCCAATGTGGACTTGCTATGTGCCTGGAACTGTGCACAGCTCAGGGGCACCAAATGGATCTGAGGCAGGAGCTGCTGCTCCATGCTGAACTGTGCTGACCTCAGGCAGGAACGATCGTAATTACCATAACAACAGTGCAGTGAAGGTTTAGACTGGCAGTAATCAGGCAGTATTGTATTACCCCTACATGGTGCAACTTAAGTTTTTAAGAAATGCTTAACATTTTAAGAAATGCTCCCGGATAATAAAAAAAACTACAGATTCACAATAGGACAGATTCAGACATAAAAGACCTCTATGGGTCACAATCTTGGACGAGTGTACATAGGCTTGGGAGAGAGAAGAAAGAGAATATAGAAAATAAAGTTAAGTTAAAAAAAGGGTAAAGTCTTTAAAGAGACAGAGTACAGATAGTTATAGATTAAAAGAAACAAAGAAAAACAAGCCACGTAAAAATAGAAAATTCACAGAGAGTCTGGATTATGTACATTGTGTTTTCTTTAAAATTTTTGACTGTGAAGGAGCTAAGTACAGAGAGATGTTTTATTGTATGGGCTGCCAAGTGAAACCAAAATGGATATCATAAGGATATTATGACTTCAGAATTTGGGTGTAAGGATATGATGCTTTGGAGAGGGTCTTCTTTTGTTTTCACAGAGGATGAGACCCTGTGGATTGCTTCTATCCCAATATGATATGATAGACCACGCCCTCCTGAAAGGTTGCTGTGAACACCCTCAAAAAATTACTTCATTCAACTGCCGACTGAGATGAACCTGGCACACAGATTACACCATGAAAGACCTGAATAACAGTGCCTCCATTCAGCAGGAAGCAGTTTGGAGAGAAAAAACTGNTACTCATGAGACTATAATTCTCAGAGGTCAGGGCTGCAGTATGCCTCCTTTTGTTCTCAACTCCTACTGGGTTCTTGGCACACAGTGGTTGTTAGGAAGCAGGAGTGCAGAGACTACAGGGATTTGAGGGAAATCTAAGAGACAGAAGAAACCAAATATAATCATGGCATGGATGCTGCTTACACAATGAATAAAAAAACCAGCAGAAAGTCCACATTTCAGATAATGAGCAAAGTTGAGAACAGACCGTTTAGATGGAATGAAGGATTCAGGACAGCTCTGTTGATGTGGTAATGGTGTGTTGGTCATGGAAGACGAGGTCCTGTTTTAACTAAAATGGAGGCATAGGGATAGGGAAATGTTTGTGTGCAAAATCTCATGTCCTAGACTCACACTACTGTGACATGATGACAGAGGGGAAATGTGAGTACTAGAAACAATCTTGAAAAATGGTTCCTGGAGCTGATTAACTGGACAGGGAACTTCTTTTGCCCTCCTGTTTTGCACATTTAGAAAAAAAAAATTACGAGAAAGACCCCTATTTATACAACAGCTCAAACTTCTTATTTCCATCCTGGCCTTGCCTCCTGCATTAGTGAAGAGAGAAGGACACAGTAGAAACTAGGTAAAAGTAATGTGTGGAAAGTGTGCTGGGGAAAGTCACCTTTTCCAGGCAGGGCTCACTCACCTGTACAGGTTGCTTTCTCTGTCAATCACCTCTGTAGTCACAGGTCCTATAAGGCCCCAAAAGTCATCTTTAGTCCCCAGTGCTTCTATGTGTTTGTGTTCTGGGGAGGCAGAAGAATATGGATGGAAGGTCATTAGAGTTGCAAATTATGAACATCAGTTCTCTAGAAGATGTCAGACAGAGGTCACTCCATGTTGTCTATTCTAATCTCCACAGCTTTCCCCATGGCTGAACACTTTCCAGGTTTTCCAGCCTAAGTCTTAGTAAGAAGTGAGCCCATAGTTTTCATCACTGTTCATGAGCCTTTCTGAATACTTTCAATTTATGTATACACACACATATACATATATATGCCTTTTGCTTTATTGTCTTTCCACTGTGCTTCTTAAGCAACTATCCCACCATAATACCTGCNATATGCCTTTTGCTTTATTGTCTTTCCACTGTGCTTCTTAAGCAACTATCCCACCATAATACCTGCCTCCATGCCAGCTGCATTGTTTCTTTCTTACTGGTCCATAAGTGTCGATTTTTCTAGTATGTCTCACGTGGTATGATAAAAAATAAAAGAAGATAGCTCATAATATGGTGAGCAGGGATAGGGAGATGAGTCCCAGGCCATAGCAGCTAGGAATGAGACACAGAGCCCTGGTATAGAGCCGAATGCAAGTCACAGTCTAGAGAAAGGGTCACCAGCAGGCCTCCACCAAAGCAGGGAGAGAAGGAAGCAGTATTTCTTCTAAGTCTTAGGTGTAGAATGTCTTGCATGGGGTGGTGCTCTTTTTGGAGAGCATGTACTGTTCCATGTCAGAGCCAGGGGCATAAAAATGATGACCATGTCAAGAATATCTGTGGCAAATAATGTTTTTGTATAAAACAGGGATGTTTCACCAATGAAACCTCAGCAATATCTTTTTCTCAGCAAGATCTTCACAATGACAACACTAGTTGATAAGCGAATGTGGATGGGAGAAATTTCACAATGCCCCACTGCTAAATGAGAACTTATAAGCGATCAATAACTGGCAAGAAAGGGATAAAATCAGTATTCTCCAGGGAGAGTGTCCTAATAGGCTATCAGTCTGAAGTAGTCAACTTGAAACATATATATGACCAACTATAAGTGGACTCATCAGGTTGTATTTATATATACACATGTATGTAAATATACATGCATTTAACAATAATACTGAAGAACAGCTCATGAATTTAAGACAGAGTTTGTTGGTGTGATACAGGAGTTGTTGAATCAGGCAGGCTGAGGGCTGGAAAATGATGTAAATATAGTACTTGTATATTAAATTCTAAAATAAATAAAGAAAGTAAAGAAGTGATGACTTCCTCCCACAGATATCCCTTCATTTGACAATCATAATGGTCTGGGACTGAACCTGTCACGTACCTGACTGTAGTCTCTGCTGCTTGAATGAGGTCAGGCTGTCATCCATTCCTTCTCCATCCGGGTTCTTAGTAGGGATCATCATATGTGGCTTCCTACACGCAGAGATGTTATTTCCCTCAGATGTCAGGAGACATCAGAGAAACCAGGGCTGTGTTCACAATATTCCAACATAAAATTCAACTCATCTGAATTTGAACTCGTTCACATGCTTCTTCATTGGGCCAGAGCTGTATAAATTCCCCATCCTCCCAGGCATCCATGCTGCTAGAACAGGGATCATCCCAAACCCTCCTTTGCTTTAATTTGAATGTGTTCCCCAGTGTTTACTCATTAGAAAGATAACCCCAATGTCACAGTGTGACAGGATGAAGGATAAGACACAAGGAGGTCACGAGTGCTCTGCTGTCATGAAGGGGTTAATGACATCATCACAGGAGTAGACTCCTGTACCCTGACAGGACTTGTCACAAAAGCCACATTGGCCCTCACTCTCAGCCTTTCCAGCTGCACAATCAGAGGGAACAGGAAGAAGGATTCTTTAGATGCAGGGTCCATGCCCTGGCTCTTCCTTGTATCCAGAACTGGAAGAAATAATCTCAATTCTTCATGTTAAGCACCCTGTGTCAGACATTGTGTTACAACTGCATAAAACAAACAAACAATCACTCACCTTGGATGCTAAGCACCTAGATAGTATCTTCTAAATCTCTCTACTCTGTTCACAACTTCCCCCTCCACAGACTCCATCCTTGTCCCTGGATGGGGTGAACATGGTTCTTATCCTCTGCAGCATCCTCTGGCAGGTGTCCCTGCTTCTGGTCTGGTCCCTTCTAGTTCATTTTCTACATAGAAGCTGACCATAAATAAAGGGTGAGGATGCTCCATCATGACCGAGGTGCTGAAACGACTCTTATTTCCTCTGGGGAGTAGCAGAAGGTTCTGAGGGTGGTTCATAGTTCTTGCTGTGGCCCCTGTCCCCTCCAGACCTTCCTATGTCACCCTTTCCTGCTCAAATCTAGACCAGTGGCTTTCAAATCCCTGCTTTAAAGTGTCACCTGGACAGGCTGCTAAATCAGAAAGCTCACGGAAGAAAGCTGTTCCATCTGAGATTCTGAGTCAGCAGGGATGGAGTTTGGCCTGAGAACCTGCATTTCTGTGGAGGGCTCAGGTGATGTTGAGGCAGAGCTGATGGTATCCACACATGGTTTCTGTCCCTCATTGGAACTGCTCACTCTCTGCTTCCCTATCCTATGTTTCTTCCTGAATTTTCTTCTCCTATCAACCCCACAACTCTCATCTTTCAGAGCTCACCTTAGCTCATCTCAGCTTTGGATGAAGTCAGACAGACCACCTCTTTACTCATAGGGTTCCCAGCACAATTTCTTTGAACTATGGGGAATCAAGTATCCCCTCATTGCTGGACTGAGATAATGAATGTTGAACCTGTCTGCCTTGTTATCCTGCTTCCTCAGATCCCCAAACAGTGAATGATGCACAGCGGGTCTTGCACAAATGTTTGTTCAATGAATGGATCGCTATCCTATGTAGAGACCCTCCCTGTCATGTGTGGCAGCTGGAAACTTGAGCAAGGAATTCATGGTTATGAACTGAAATTGACTAAACTTGCAGAGCATGGGGCTTCAGCACAGCCCCTGGGGGTGGAAAATGACTTTCCANAGGGGAAATGATGTGGGAGTCTTCTGTTTTGTGTTGATTTCATTGGTTAAATAAAGAAACTGCCTTGGATCTTTAATAGGAAAGAAAATTAGGTAGGTGGAGTAGACAGAACAGAATGCTGGGAGAAAGAAGCCGAGTCAGTCAGTTGCCATGATTCTCCTCTCCAAGACAGATGCAGGTTAAGATCCTTCTGGTAAGCCACCACCTCGTGGTGCTATACACGTTAATAGAGATGGGTTAATCAAGATGTGAGAATTAGCCAATAGGAGGCTAGAAACTAATGGGCCAAGCAGTGTTTAAAAGAATATAATGTGTGTTATTATTTCTGGGGCTAAACTAGCCATATGGGAGCTGGGCGGCGGGAAGCAGCCCGGAGCTACATCTACAGACACCCCTGTACTTTCCTATTCTTGAACACCATAGTAGACCCTGCTTAGACATTGAGTGTCTTTTGCAATGAGTTAACCCATAGCTTTTGAATGCACATCTTTACTCAGAAGGCTGGAACATTGTGAAAGGGGACATAGAAAGAATGTAGCAACAGAAGATATAGAGAATGCTAATGGGCTCAGTTTAGCCCACATATTATTCCTTTTCTCATCACTCTGACAAAAACATAGCACGAAACAACTTAAGGGAGGGCTTATGTTGTTATTTAGTTTCATGATGAGAACGCATGTAAACTGCGGCTCTGTTATTTGTGGCAGGAGCTTGTGGCACAGCTTGTTATATCAGGATCAGGAATCCAAGTCTGTGGTGAGGAGCAGGTTGAGGCTATAACCCTCAAGGCCTTCAACCAAAGGCCTAACTGTGATTGTCTGGCCTCACATGTTTGTTTCACAATTCCCCAAACACTAGCAGTAACTGGGGGGTCAAGTGTTTAACGTTTACACCTGTAGACCTTTCAGATTCAAACGATGATGAGTGAGAGCTCATCCTGAAGTCCTTGACCCAGGACTTGCTGCACAGTAGGCTGTGCCCTTCTCTGTGCCATATTAAAACCAACTCCTCAGTTTACCAGACCTTCTGTGTGATCACTTAAATTGCTTTACACTTAATTTGGAAGTTTTCTTGCTCATCCCAAAGCCCAAATCATTGCTCTCCAATCTCAGTTTGCTGTAAATCCTTGTAATGTGCCCCAAATCTGGTATCTGATCCTGTAGACTAGCAAACCCCTGGATGCTTACCTTTGGAAAGATTTCCAGGTGTTTGGAACCAGACACTCTGTATCGTGATCCAATGTAAAGAGAGTCTACTGGGGGTGGCTTGTGTATTCGAACAAACTGAAACCTCATTTCTTGTTCATCAATGGCCTAGGGAACATAGCAGACAGCAATTTAACTAGATTTTAGTACTACAACAGCTAACTGGCCTGAATAAGTTGAGTTGGTCAATCAGTACATTTTTGTGTGATGGGGTGATATCACCTCCAGGGAAACCTTCTGACTTGTATTCTGCTATATAGATTGATAATTATATGCCTCTGTCAGGGTCATTGTGGGAACTGTGTCCCTGACAGAGAAAGGGGTTGGCTATATATTAGATATGGAGAATGCCATAGAAGGATGTGTAGAGATAAAGGGATGTTAAAGGCAGTTGATGAACCTCTGTTGTGAGGGGGCCAAGAAGACTGCAGATTCATAATTACCAGGACTCTCCTTATAGAACTATTTCCCACTCCAAGTGGAGAATTTCTCCAAAGGGATAGCTATATTTCAAGTATTCTGTCAATGCACTCTAGCCCCACATTTCTGGCACTCAGTGTTACCTTCTGAATGGTCCAGTCATTGGGGATCAGGTAAAGATGAAGGGTGACTTCCTTGATATTGAGGTAATAGTAGATCAATGTGACAGAAGTGATGGGGATGAAATGTCTGACAGCAGGCATAATTCTCAGTAGAACTCCCATTGGGGAGAAGCTTGGATTTTCCAAGACTGTATAGCACTGCTCCACTCTGGCTGGCACTTCTAGGACCATCCCATGTTCTTTAAAGTGGGCCACACAGAACCAGGAGATGTCCACAGGTCCCTCTGTGAAAGAACAGATTCAACTATGTGGATTTAGTGTTTCTACTGAACCGTGCTTGGCTGGAAAAAGAGCCACTAAGATATAGAATGGCGGTGGTGCTTAGAATGAGAATGGGTGGCTGTATTTGGTGGAACCTCTTGAGAAGGAATGGGAGGTGTGACACTAGAATAGGATTTGAGGTTTTGTCTTTTCTTTTCTTTTCTTTTCTTTTCTTTTCTTTTCTTTTCTTTTCTTTTCTTTTCTTTTCTTTTCTTTTCTCCTCCTCCTCCTCCTTCACCTTCTCCTCCTTTTCCTCCTCCTCCTCCTCCTCCTCCTCC